AAAAGGAAAACACTTGTAAAGCTGCTTGCTTTAACCTTAAAGAAAACATTTAGAAAAACTAATGTACAATCTAGATTTGTATTATCGCTATATAGAAAAAAAAAATAAATAAGCGTTAAAAATCTTGATTAATACCTAATACCAAGTAACACAGATATATTACTTCGTATTCATAAAAATGCACTACTATCACCTAAAAAATAAACTGATTAGTAGTAAAGTTCTCAGAATCATAACTATAAATTATAATTTTGAGAACCTGTTATTTCAGTTATAATTCCATATTACTGTAATAAATATTCACAATATGAATCATCGCTAGTTCAGAATTACATGAATAATGCATTATAATTAGAAGCACACTATGAATTATACCCCATGCTATTACATATACTTAAGTTCTGTCCCACCGCATACATACAATTATTGCTAGTCAAATCGATTATTCTATTATTGCTGTTTACACGTGCGTGCATTATGACCTATCCTACCACATATATTACATACATATTTTCTTTTTTCGTGACATAATTCTTTTGCGTTGTTGTCTAAAACATTATTATTATTTGAACTAATATTTGAGAAAGGCAGTCTCAAATTAGAATCTTGTGGGTTAATCGCCTGATTATGTGCCAATTCTCTATAATCTCGGTTTTCAGAAGAACTTTTTAACCTTTTAGTTGGTGGACGCTCACGATGTTTAATAACTAAAGAATCCATTATGACTTTATGTTCAGGTTGAGCACTTTTATTGCTGATACTTTTAATCGTAGACTTTTTCTGATCAATAAACCGTATAACCATATTTATCAACTCTTCTTCACATCCAAGATCTAGTGCAATATTTAGAGCCTTTTTTATTTGTCCAAATCCATTTGCATACTTAACCTTCTTGCTAACCACTTGCTTATGCTTCGCATCATACACATTAGCACCTCGAATTTGTTCTATGATATGAAGATCCGGGACAATTGGAACAATCAGGACAATTTTGTCAGAAACCTTTTGCTGAAACATAGTTGAAATTTCAATGCTTTGCTGCTGTAAATCCTCTAATTCTTTATCTTGATGATTATTATAGTACCAACGTTTCAAAACCAATCTGATATGAAACTTTGCAACTTTACTGTTTATCATTACCTGAAAAAAGTAAGCGCATATAATTCCATAGTTAATAAGAGCCATACAAGTGCATAGATACCCGCCATCATTTAACAAAACTACATAATACCCGTAAATTGCTAATAAACTTATAAGTTTCCAAATTTCAACAATATCGTCGAAGTCGATATCCTTTATCAGAGCCAGGATAGAAATTTGTGGCCTATCAATTTTATCCTCTAAAAACCCCTCATCATAATCCAATAAAAAGTTTTTCTATAAAAAGAAAAAGTTAGTAAAATCCAAAGCTTAGATATACAAATTTAATCAAACACCAAATAAACTATTAACCTAACCTGTAATTCTTGAATGTCCTCCTTTGATCGTAATTGTGCGTGATATAAAAGAAACCCAGTAATTTGTTGTTGTTGAATAGCCAATATATGAGGTATTAAATAATGTTTCAATATTTCCAAAACCTTTGGAAATATTGACTCGACAACTGCTGGTGCTTGATTAGTAGGAAGAGAATTTAAATAATTGTTATGTCGCAACCACCTAGCTTCATTATCCAATAAATTTTGTATATGTTCATGAAGGGCACGCAATGAAGAAGTACTTTTTATACCTTCCTTAATCAGTCAGTTCATCACCTCAACACGTTGGGTACTTTGAGCTCCCCCGTGAAATATTTTAATTGATAACACCTGGCCCACGATTTAGTACACCTCTGTAACGTTTTACTAAAATAATTATTTTTTTGAAGGTATTTGCTTAATAAACGTAACCATCACCTAAGAAAATCCTCTTCAAATATGCTATTTCGTATATGTAGAAATTCCTTATAAAAATCCTCAAACTGTTTTCTGAGCTTGCTTCGTAAATTTTTGCGAATATTTTCCTGAATGTGGAAAATACATAGAAAATAATGTGTGGTAGGTAGTTTTAAAGAAATGGCACTACTTAGTGCAGGATCAGTGTCTGAAAACAAAACTATAGGAAGCGTATTATGTGTAGCATTTATAATACATTCAAGAAACTATTCATATGCTTCAATGGTTTCATCATCAGACAACGCTTGACCTACCAACCGGGTCCTTGTATTATTGTCAATTACTATTAAAAGTGTAAAATACATGCCAAACCAATTGGTTCGGCATATATTATCGGTTTGAACAACATCAACATAATGAATCAAATATTGCTGCTGCATTAGTGACATCCAGAAAACTCCTGCCAGCCTATTATCATATGAATCTATTCTAATATTGACAATCCAACCTGGATCTTGGCTTTTTAACTGCAACAAATAATCTATAAATTGCTGCGCTTCTCCATGCCATTGACTAGGTATTGTTCGAAATTTTTGAACTGCATTATAAAGGTCAGTTTTATGAATCGTATGGTTAGGAAATTTTGCTGTTAAAAGTGGTAAGATTTGTTTAGACCCCATATTCCCTTTTGTAACGTAAAATTCTATCAATTCTAGAATTTCCAAAGATAGCTTTCTGTATTTTGGAGCATATAAAGCTACATCTGGTTGCATTTGAAGGTTATGCTCTTCTACTATAGTTGTAATAACAATAGCCATAGATGACTTGGGTTTTGACAGATTTACATGCCAAGGGCATGACGTTTTTTTTGAATTTCGATCATGTTGTCGGGAAAGATCGATAACTTTGTTGCTAGTAACTTCACCAGAATGTGTACACTCAAAGGTACATCGCCTAACTTCACCATCAACATTAACTATTACTCTTTTTCGACGTAATGAAAAGCCTGTAGCCTTAGTATAATTCTTAAGGCATGCTTCAGCCTCATCCCACGAGTTATAAAAATCGCCTACTGATATTTGAAGGTCCTGTTCATCAGTTGGATCAGTTTCTGAAGATAATTCTGTGTCAGAAGCTACCAATTCTATACTTATGTTATTCGTATTTTCAAAATCAACCAGAGAGCTGTTTATAGATTCAGAAAAGTCTGTATCTACAAAAAAAAAAGTTTAGAAATAGGAAACCCAATATTTTAACAAATATTCTTAAAGAATTAATACTACGCACCTTCTATAATTTTTTCTATAGACTAGCACTAGAAACGCAAAAAAAAAAAAAAAGGCAATAAAAAAAGCACAAGCACGATAAAAATAACAATCAAACAACAAGCAAGCAAGGAAGCACAACAAGCAAGCAAATAAGGAAGCACAATAAGCAAGAAAACACAATAAGTAAAAAGGAAGCACAATAAGCAAATATGTAATACAGAAAAAAGAAGAATGGCGTGTAATTATATTAGTGAATGAAAAAAAAAAAGCGCAATAATAAAAGGTTGTCGTGATCACAGTGAATCAGTGTAATGCGAAAGATGACTTTAACGACAAAGAAAAAAAAGGTATAATTAAAACAAGCAGTAAAACTAATATATAAGTGGAGTTATGAATATTGACGAATGAAAAAAAAAGCACAACAATAAAAGGTGGTTGTGATCACAGTGAATCAATGTTAGTAATGCGAAAATGACTTTAATACGACGCATTACTAAAGACAGAGAAAATGATAAAGAAAAAAAGATTATAATTAAAACAAGCAGTAAAACGAATATGTAAGTGGAGTTGTGATCAAAGAAAATTAGCATTAGTAATGCGAACAATACACTCTTAACAAAATACAAGTAAGTTCAAGTTTGATCAAATATCTGATCGAATATATAACACGTAACTGATCGTATGACGTGTAACTATATATCACGTGACGGTAGTGATTATCACCACTGGTTATTTTAATAATTATTCTTTAAAAAAAGTAGATCATAACTATATTTATAATAATTTTCTAGGCAAATTTGCCTAGAAAAGCCTACAGTTTAAGAGATAGTACTACTAAATAAACTAAATTAATCTCTACATTAGTCATTTATGTCTATATTTAGGATGTAAAAACTTTATCAGAAAACTATCCATACTTGAGTAAAGATCCAAGTTTGAAACTTCAAATCACGTAGCTCCATAAAACTTCTGCAATGTATTTATAGTTCTTTAAAAGTTCTTAGACAAAGTTAACGACTCATCACTTGTCTTAAAGATAAGTACAACCAATAGTCTTAGTGTAATATTGTAACCTCTTGAGAAATAACTAATTATATATTATTTATCTCAAAGTAGATACGTACTCTTGTACATAACTTTTTTTTTTTAGCAGTGATCATTATTGATGATCTTTTGACAGAGGTACGCCATTTTTTCTACTTTTTGGTGAAATTTTATAAAGTGCAAAAAGTAGTGTGTTGTAAAGAGTTTTGGTTAGCAAGTAGCCTTAAACTTCGATAAAGAATCTGTTAAAAACTCGTTTACTGTTCTTTTAGACCAACTATACTTTTACTTCGTTAGCAGAAGCTATGTTTCTATTAAAATTTTTTGTACAAAGGCACCACTTCCTGCCAATTATCTTGTACAAGAATGCTTTTAACTTGCTTGCTGTTTGATTGTTATTTTTATCGTGCTTGTGCTTTTTTTATTGCCTTTTTTTT